CCTGTAAGCCTATGATGGTTCAAGCCTTCCCACAGACTGAGCTGTAGCCAGACTTTGGGGTCTGTTTGTTTTTGTTAATTCCTCAGGCTCTGACAACCCCTAGGATAAACATAGCTAATTCTTAGTCTTTTAGGTATGAATCCAACAAACACTCTAGTCTCTATATTATTCCAGGATCAGTAAACGGTAGGCTCAGGAAGCGAAACCGGGTCAGTGATCTGGAGGGAGACATCCTCTACAAGCACCTGGCTGAATTCTTCTCGGCGATAGCATATTTTATCCTCTGAATTAGATTTGTTCATAGATTGTATCTCTGTAGTTTTTGCTACTTAAATAACCTGTACATAAAGTCGGGTGTGCTGGCACACTTCTTTAGGCAGAGGCAGGCGGATCTCTGTGAGTTCGAGACCAGCATGGTCTACAAGAGCTAGTCTCCAAAGCCACAGAGACCCTGTCTCGAAAAACAAACAAAAAAGAAGCAGTCTAGTGAGGCCCCGTCTAGTTCCTAAGCGAGTTCATCACACAGCCTTGAAAACACACTAATGAACCCTGTACATCACCTCCTGAGGACCGGCCTGCTGGACTTTGGGCACTGAAATATTGAAGACGAAAGTTTGGGAACTACAGCGCTAGGCACTGTGAGTCAGTGCGATGAGTCGGTGATCAGAAATGCCCGTTTCACATATGAAGAGTCTAAGGCTGTACTGGGAAGACGCACAGATCCATACCCAGCTTTCAGGTGTCCTCCCAAACACTCCCCGTGGGCCTTGCGAAGGTTCCCCCAGATGCTGGACAGGGGCACCCCATCGATGAGCTCCGCTCCTCGGCTCCCCATGCCTAGCCCAGCCCCGTGCGCTTCTTCCCCCTCCCTCTGCTTCCCACTTCCAAGATGGCCGCGGGCGGAGCTGACCAGGTAAGGGGCCCGGGTCGGGCTTCTGCGGTGCCAGTGTGGACGCTGTGACTCTCTCAGGACTACCTTCGCACCTCCGCTTGGGCCTGGGGATAGAGAAATGTCGGGGACACAACTCCCGAAGCTTAGGGCGGACGCTTGGGCAGGCCGGAGGAGCGACACCAGTGAGCGTCAGGCTCCAAGCTCAGCATAGGCGCGGCGGGGGACGAGAGCCCGGGCGGAAGAGCGGCGGAGGACTGATAGGGGCGTGGCCAGGGAGCGTGAGGGTGTGGTTAGGGAGCGCGGGGCGTGGCAACAGGGCTGTCCCAGGGAGTGCCCTAATCAGGGTGGACTGCCGGAACGGAAGAGCGGAGGGCATGGCTAGTGAGCTCTCGGTGGGCGTGTCTATGGAGCATGGGGCGTGGCGGTGCTCCTGAGGCCCCAGAGCCGGAGTTTGCAGTTGGGTGTTGGCTGCTGAGGCTCGGTGGAGGACGAGTGGGGGCGTGGCTATGGGGCACGGGGCGTGAGGGGGCGGGGCCCGGCGCTAGCTGCTTTTGGCCCCGGCAGCTGACAGGCACCTGCTGCGGCCGGGCGTCAGCAGTTTTCTCGGCCAGCAAGTTGCGGGCCCCACGGGGCCTGGGCTGCGGGCCACGGGCCCGGAGATGGCGTTGGAGCTGCGGTAGCTCGGGTACTGAGGGCCTCTGCGGGGTCAGGCTGAGTGGTTGAGGAGGGCTGGCGAGAGGCGCTGCCACCTGCTGCTGTGCTGGCCTGGCGGGGCCGGCCCGTGAGTGGTCAGGTTCCTGAGAGGGAGGATGGGAAGGAGGGTTGGTGTGCGGCTGCCCTCGGCCAGAGTCTGTCGTGACTTGTGCCTTTTCCACAACTTGGTGAAAAGTTTTCTCCTCAGATACCGTGCTGCGAGTCACAGAGGAGTCTGCCCTGCTCGTCCCGAGCTAGCGTCCTCCTCAGACCCCTGTCATGTTCAGATCTCTGCCCTTAGTCCTCCTCAAACCACTGTGGTATTCTGATCTCTGTCCTCAAACTCCTCTCTTCAGATCCTAGGCCTCCTCAGACTTCCTCAGGTCTCTCGTCCCCCGCCTGTTCGGATTCAGTCCTCAGAACCCCCCTGGTGTGTCTCGGACTCCTTTCCTCTTAATACCCCATTTCCTTGAGTTTTCTTAGGCGCTGGACTGCCGCTGACTCATCTGACTTGAGCACCAGGCTGTGGGTTGCGCATGAGTCTGACCTGAGCATCATGAGCCTGAATTCTCCTCATACCCCTAACCTATTCAAACCTTTGTTCTCCTCAGTCCTTCCTCCTCAGTCCTTTGTGGTGTGTTCATTTCTTCTTCCTCCTCGTACAGAGTTCTCAGACTGCCAAACCTCTTCCTTAAATCTCCTGACCCACTCGGTCCTCTGCCCTCTTGGCCCTCCTTACCTTGGTCCCTGGGCTGCAGAAGGTCCTCCAGTTAGGGACCTTAGACCCTACTCTCCTCAGATTCCTACTGCCTGGGCCATGTCTCCTCAGATCTTCCACTCATACTGTAGAACCTATTTTCTCTCTAGACCCTCAGTAGTAGGCTAGAGAAACAATCTGACCTCTCCCCCTAACTCCTACTAGTCTCTTGTCAACCCTGCAGGGGCTTGGCTAGCTTTTGAGAGGGTGCTAGCCAGCACAGTCTGCTGATGGAACCCCATAGAAGCTGGGACTGTCAGAGACACCTCCTGACCAGGCCTAGTAAAACTCAAAACTGCACCTGACTTAAAGTGAAATAGATGGGACCTTATCTCCCAGGTGGAATTAGAAGTTTTGCTCTGGAAGATTCTATATGTACTACTGCAGTTTGTCACCTGTGGAGGCCCTGGCTATCCTATGATTATTTCATGTTGGCTGGCTGAAGAGGGAGTCCTGGTGTTTGGTGACAGTAGTCCCCTTCTCCCCAGCACTCTCATCTGCAAGAGGTCAGCACAGGGTTGCCTGTGGCTGTTGGCAGCTCTGCTAAAGGGACTGGGCTAGCCTTTGTAGCAACACACTTGTGTGCCAGCACCAAACTGGTCTCAGCTTTGGTACGTCTCCCCTCCCCCAGCTCTTTCTCTGCTTGTTTTCGTGCTTTGTTGTGTGGGTCTGACCCATTGAGATCTGAGCTCCATTATCCTAATAAGACCTAGCTGAAATGGGAACCTGGTGTGTACCTGCTGCTTAGGGTTATTGAGTGCATTCTTCCGGAACATTGAGAGATCAGGAGATACGACTATGGGAGTTGAGGTGAGAGAGAGACTGAGGTGGGGTGTAGATTGAGGCTGATACATCACAAGACAAGACTCTGCTCACCCTGGTGTTCTCGGTGGCCCCAGCAGGCCCTGGTGTGTGTTTGTTTAGCACCTTTGTTACATGAATTAGGCTTGCTTTCTTCTTTTTGTACTCTGCCTCAGCCCGTCTCTTTACATTCAGCATCTCACTTGGCTCCTGGGGATCTGTGTCTTTTTAGCACCTTCAGGTAGCCCTGACTCTTGTTATGCAGAGAGTGAGTTCCCTATCTCCCTTGTCGGCTTCCCCTCCTCCACCAGGACCAGTTCTCTCTTTGTGTAAGCCTCTCTAACAGTGAGGCGAACTTTACTTCAGGGAGCCTTGCCTTAAAGTCTGACTCCCCATGGGTTCGAGACCCTTAACTTCATGTTCCCAGCCTCAGCACAGAGTATATTTGCCTCATGATGTGGGGTCCTGAGACCTTGGAGAGGATTTTTCAGAATAGACATTTAGGAATTGAGTATGTATGGTCTCCCGACATTTGCTTTAAGATTGGATATAAAGCAAGTGTCTTGGGCTAGGAGTATTGAGACTGTTGAGCTGGAAGTCTCTCAGGAGTAGATTAAGTTGACTAATTTCACTTTTTACTCTGGAAAATTGAGGCCCAGAGTTCAATCAGTGCCACATAGCATGTGTGACGAGAGAAGCTGCACAGCCCTGTGTACATGGAATGGCTATGTGTGGGCTTTCTTTTTCTTTGTTCATCTTATTTTTTGTGTGCATTGGTGTTTTGCCTGCATATATATCCGTGTGAGGATGTTGGATCCTCTGGAACTCAAGTTAGAGTTCTGAGTTGCCAGGTGGGTGCTGGGAATTGAACCCTGGTGTTTTGGAAGAGGCATCTAGTGCTCTTAATCACTGATTCATCTCTTCAGCCCCTAGAGTGTCTGAACTTTCTAATGCAAAGATGTTGTTAAAATAGTGGATCTGAGTCGTCCATCTCTGTGCCAAGAAGTATAACACTAGCCAAGATGTTCTAAGGCTTAGCGTATGCTAGGCATGGTTCTAAAAGCATTATGTGACTTTTTTTCCCTTAAAATTGTTAATTGCCTGGTAAAAGGCTAGTATTGACTTCATTTTGCAGTGGAACTGAGGCACATGAAGTTCATTTAATTCAAGGTCACACAATTGGCTAATGGAGGAACTGGGATTCGAATCCAGGAAGTCTACTCCAGAGTCTGTAGCTCCTCCCATACTACTTACTTTAAAAACATTTTGTAAACATTCATATATTTATTTGTGTATGTAGGACAACTTCTTAGTCAGTTTTCTCCTACTTGTGGGTCCTGTGGATTGAACTCAGGTTGTTAGGCTTGGCAGCAAGCACCTTTACCAACACCTGATCCATCTCTCGGATCCTAACAACTTTTATAAACTTTTTTATTGTTGTGTTTGATATGATGTGTGTGTGGTTGAGCATGCCATGCTGTGTGTGTGAAGGTTGGAAGACAACTTTTGGAGTCAGTTCTTTCTTTCTACATTTATGAGGGTTCTGGGGATGGAATTCAGGTTACTAGGCATGTGCACCAAGTGCCTTTACCCACAGAACCATCTTGCTGGCTCTATTTTAAAACAGTTTTTGGGACTGGAGATATGGCTCAATACTTATGAGCACTTGGCTGCTCTTCCAAAGGGTTCAGGTTCAATTCCCAACAGCCACATGGCAGCTCACAATGGTGTAACTCCAGTTCCAGAGGATCTGGTGTGCTCTTTTGACTTCAGTGGACACCAGGCACACACCTGGTGCACAGACATATATGGAGGCAAAAAAAAAACACTTGCATACATAAAATAATTTTAAAATTCCATTTCTATTTAAATTTATCATATAGAATGGTAAAAGTTGTGTTTGGTTTACTGATTAGCACAAGATTGAGGACTTGTATTAAGTATTTCAGCAGGCCATGTGTGGGGCTCTGATGTCATACCTGGCCTGAATCCAGTTTTCCTTGTGCAACTTTGAGCAAATTGCTTTGCTTATCTATATTTCGGTGTTTACGGTATAGTTAGCATATTTATGACTACTAGGTCATGTGGCCCCTTAAATGTACAGCACGTGGTGACTGCTAACAGTGGTCTCTTCTATTAAGAATCCAACACATCTTTACTACTCTGGAGGCAGAGGCAGGCAGATCTCTGTGAGTTTGAGGCCAGCTTGGTCTACTTAGTGAGCTCCAGACCAGCCAGCAGTACATAGTGAGAGAAATCCCAAACAGGAAGTAAAGAGTTTAAATTATGTTGCATTTATGAAGTGGTCTGCATATCTTCCTGATCCATCAATACTTCACAAATGTGTGTTTAGTCATTAAATGTAGCTGGAACATTTGGGAGAGGAAGGAACACTCCACATATTCAGTGTCCTTAATTTAAAGTGTCTCATTTAGGCCTTTTGATTATAGCACCTGTGGCCAGTGTGAGTTAAGTATCTGTTCTTTAGAGCTTTGAGGGAGACTTTGGAACTCTCAACAGTTTAGTGCCACAAGCTTTGAAGTCTGCTGTGCTGAAATATGCATGGATGGAACTGTTCACCCAGAATGTGGGAACTTCAGGTAAGTTGCCATTCATCTTCCAGAGGAGTGGATGAGTTTAGCAAATTGTTTTAGGACTGTTAATAACCCATCTAAAAAGAAAGCACTTTTATTATTGGCTTCCTTGCTGTGCAGTGGCAGTGATCAGTATTCCAGGGAGCTTGAGTTAGATCCAGGTTAGCCCAGCATGCTGTTTTCTTATCCCTGGCCCTTACTTAATCTTGAGCTTAGGTTTGCTAGTGCATCTCTCAGTAAGTAGATTGCTGTGAAGGCTGAGCATCTGGCAGGCTCTGGGTTCCTGGCAGGTGGTTGTTCCTATAAACTGGTAATGCTCTGGTACCTAGGACTGTCCTGGCCCCTTTGTCTTTCTTGCCAGTCAGGACTTATAGAGAGACTCAACCTCCTGGTTCGTTCCTGTGGAACTCTCTGCAGTACAGGGTAATTCACACAAGTGTACCACTTTTATCTGTGGGTCTCCTTGGGATTAGACCTCATTCCTGGCCTCTCCTGAGCTTAAGTTTGTCTTGAACACCCTGTGTTCTGGGCTGAGATGCAGTCTGGTGGAGCCACTGCTTCTGTGAGGAAACTAAAGGCCTCATCAGAACTCACACTGTAAAACATGGGGGACTCGAAGAGCTTTCTCAAGAATTTTGTAGGTGCTAGATACAGAAGACTTGGTGGGGCCTGTTCAGTTTCCAACAGAGCCTGGTCTGCACGGTGGTTTTATGGTGCTATGCAAGTGGAAGGTGTTACTGGTGTGACCCTGCTGTCCTGTGCTTGACTCTATGCGAGTGGAAGGTGTTACTGGTGTGACCCTGCTGTCCTGTACTTGACTCTATGCTAGTGGAAGGTGTTACTGGTGTGACCCTGCTGTCCTGTACTTGACTCTATGATTTTGTGACCCCAGGCATGACTGAGTAGAAACAAGCCATGGGTGCTTTGCCCTTAGAATAAGACCTGGAAATCAGGTAGAACAGGGCTGAGGGGAGGCGGGGCAGCTAAGGTGAGTATACTGTCCTGTCCTTTGGTGGTCAGAGAGAGCAGCAGTGTTGTTCCCTTATTGGTGGTTTCAGGAAGCTCCTTTCCCCAGGAACATCCAGAGAGGAGCTGGGTCAGCCTGCTTGGGTCCATATCCTTTAGTCAGGGGCAGTCCCCAGGAATGGTGCTGGGGCCTGTCTGTTCTGTAGCCACCAGGGAGGCTATTTCTCTCTCTGAGGACTAAGCTAAATCATTTGGTCTGGGTTTCAGAATTTTTTTTTTTTGTGAAGGTTCTGGCCATGTCCCAAGTCTTGGATTTTGGGGAGGATGAAATCAAGTGGTTGCTTCTGGATTAGACTGTCTCACATAGCCCTGTCCACATCACCGGTAGAGTCTCTTTGTCACTTGTCTTACACTAAGAACTGGCCTAAGGGGTGACAGTTGGGCTGTTCCAGACCCTCAGGGAGTTTCCTTTTGCTTCTTGCAGAACATATGAAACTCACGTGGTCTTGCTATGAGGTTAAAAACAGCCTTCCTCTTACGCCTGCTTCATATCGTGTGTGTTTTCCTCTAGTCCGGAAAGTGGTGACTAATCACCATTTACCCTGCGTTGTGTGCCTCCCCTGGCAGTGTGCTTCTTCCTCCTTTGATGGACTCAGCCAGTGCCTGAGTCTACTCAGACTAGATTGGCTGCTGCAGGCAGATTGTGATGCTCTGATGTTACTCATGTAGATGTCAGAAAATTAGTGTAGAGAGGGATATTGTTTCCTTTTCCTGACTTTCTAGATGGTGGTTCCCACTGTCAGATCTGCATGTAACCTGTTGTGCTGGGTGGGTTGCCCAGTTGCTGGTGTCTGGTATGTCCACATAGCCAGGACTCAGTGGGATTTTCCTACTTATATTGCTTCTGTTAAGTGCTTCTTAGACTATAACCCAGATTTCAGTTGAATGTGCACGAATGGGACTGTCTTGAAAACCTTCCCACTTGAGGACTTGGCTGTCAGGAATTAATTCAGCATGCATTTTTTAATCCTTAATCCATGGTAGGCATTTGGCCAGACACTGAAATTCAGAAATGTGTAGAACTGTTCCTGCCCTGAAGTCTGGGATCTGGTGGCAAGAAACAGGAAAATAGTTGTAGAATCCCATCATTTTAGGTGAGGGTGGCAGAAGAGCATAGAAAGAACTTTACAGCTTCTTGAAGGAGCTGGGGCCAGGGCGAGGGCAAAGAGCTCCTGCAGTGGCCCCAGTTTGGTTGCATGCTAAAAGGTGGGGATGACAGGGGATAGGAGCACCTTTGAGTCTGCTTAGTGTGGGGAATTCCAGCTCAATTTCTATTTAGAAGGCATGTGACTAGGAGGCAGGCCACCTGCTTTAGGCCGGCTTCCAAAGTTCACCCTACAGCCTTGTCTCAAAAGCATGTGCCTTGTTTGTGCAACCTCCCCCTTATTAGGGCACTGGCAGAAGGTAGGAGGCCTGGAGTGTGGCCTCTGGTTTTATGGCATTGGTAGTACCAGGTAAAAGGGCTCAAGGACCAAGTGGCCCTGGCCCTTTGCAGAAGTTGGTTCCAGAGTATTGTCTTCATTAGGGTTACTGTTGTGACAAAACATCATGACCAAAAAGCAAGTTGAGAGGAAAAGGTTTATATTGCTGTTCATCATCAAAGGAAGTCAGGACAGGAACTCAAAACAGGGCAGGAACCTGGAGGTAGGAGCTGATGCAGAGGCCATGAAGGGGTGCTGCTTATTGACCTGATTCCCCTAGGTAGCTCAGCCTGCTTCCCAGGACCACCAGCCCAGGGATGGCATCACCCACAATGGGGTAGGCCCTCCTCCATCAATCATTAATTTAAAAAATGTTTTACATCTTATGGAGGAATCTCACTTAAGATCCCCCTATTTCAAATAACTCTATTTGTGTGTCAAGTTGACCTAAGACCAGCCAGCACAAATATGTTGCAAGCTGGAGAACTCTTTCCCCTTTAGGCTTATTTCCTCAAAGATTGACACCCTGTTCCTGAGGCTTAATGAATCACCAGAGGCCTCAGAGTTCATTTGGCTTTTCCCTGGAAGAGGCCCAGGGATAGAGAACCATGGCTTTGGACTTGCAGCCCTACTTCCTTCCCCATTTCTTGACTCTGGGAGCAAAATCTCTTGTTAACAGTTGAACTGCATGCATTTCTTGCAGGCACTTTGGCTAGATGTGACTAGAAAACAATGAAATGTGTCTATGGAGCACCCGTGAGGTTAGCTGTCCCACTTCATCACACTGTCTTGTTTCTTTTGTATTCAGACCAGCCTGTAGTATAGTATTGCCATGGTTCATTGCTGGGGAGGCAGGAAGTTGAGGCTCAGAAAGGTTAAGTACTTCTTCTGAGGTCCTGAGGTCACTGCAGCTGGTAAGCGGCAGAGCCAGAATTTCAGCTGTGCATGTAAAGATTTCCTCTTCTGACCAAGGCTTTGCGCCAGTTTGATCTGTTGGAAGCTGATGATGGTGTTTTGATATCTAGTAACCTTTGCCTTTGTCAAAGATTAGCTCTCAACTATGTGATAAAATGTTTCTTATTGTGTTCTTGCTTTAGTTAAAAAGAGTACAACTTTCAGTTTGTGTATGTTTGAATCTATTGTATCTTTGTGCGATTCTTGTTTCTTTAGATAATTGATTAGGTTTCCCCACAGCAGGGAACACAGAGAGGGTGTCTGATGTCCTTGAGGGGCACGTGACTGCTGGACTCAGGGTGGACATTAGGGCAGTGTGAGCCATGAAAATCAGAAGATATTCAACACCTGCTGAAGTGACTCACAGATCCTTGTGTAGAAAAAACTGAGTTTTTGTCTGTAGGTTTGAAAACTTTTTTCCAGCCCTTATATAATTTTTGTTTCTGTAACAAGCTAAATTTGCCCGTGTTTTTCTTGTGACGTGGTTCACTGTGTTTCTAACTTGTAAGAAAAATGGGTTATCAGTACAACTCTGGAGTTAAATGAACCTTACTTTCAGGATCATAGTTTTCTGTGGCTGAGTCTATTTCTGAATTCCACCTTTCACTCCTGTTTCTATTTCTGTTCTTTGCTGTGTTGTCTGAATCGCTCCTTCAGCTTCTGGGAGGGGGAGATTACTTCCCTTCCTCTTTTTTGTTTTAATCAGTTTTGCTTCTGCCACACTTAGGAGACTGGCTTCCTGAGGGCTGAGAAGGCTTCTGGTAGAAGCTAGGCTAATTCCTAGCAGTGCCTTGGACCTTCAGCCACTTCTTGTTTGATGATAGCAGCTGTCCCCCTCGGCCCGCTGCCCAGTCATTACTTTCCTTGACATTTAATTTTCCCAAGGTTGTCTGTAGTGGGGTTACAGTCCAGGAGTTGTTAGAGTCTGGACTTCTGGTCCTTATGCTCTACTCTGTGGTCAGGTTACAGTGTACTGTCTGATCTCTTTAGTTCTGACATTTTAGAAGAAAAAGAGAAGGTAACCTTTCACGGGTGAGGGTTGACAGTGTGCTAGGGGTTGTGTTCCTCAGACCGGTGTTTTCTCCTTGCTTGTGCCTGCCTCTTTGGCTAGAGAGCTCTGGGCATGGTCTTTGAGGTGTATGTGACCAGTGCTTTAGACTCTTTCAAGTGTTGGCCTTTGCTCTTCTATTATTAACATATCTTTACTAAACTAGCCTCCTGACATGAGTTAAGGACACTGTCCCAAGCCAATTAAAACTAGGTATGGCCTTGCCTCTTGACCCCCAAATCCTACCTCTCTAGCTAAGTCTGATCTTGGACTATTCTGAGTGGTTGGTTTCTGTTGTGAAGGAATAGCATGCCCTGTCTAGGACTTGAGTGAGCATGGTAATGCTGTGGAAAGGTATGGCCAGTTGGGGTATGATGGGCAGTCTTACTGCAGATGGTGTGTTTGTGTGTATGTGTTAATTCACTTTGCTGTTTTTTTGTCTTACAGCATAACAACCAAGCTAATGATTAGGACTGAACCCATGGCTTTGCTCATTCTAGCCAGGCACCACTACTGAGCTATATTCCCAGCCCCTAAATCACATATTTTAGTCAGAGGTATCCTATTTATAGTTTGTCCCCTGTGTTATCATTATACCACTGTTACAGAATGCTTGGGATAAACAACTTGTAAGAATGAAAGGCTTATTTCAGCTCATTGTTTCAGAGATTTCATCAGGCCATGTTTTTGGCATTGTTGCTTTGGGCTCAGGGAAGTACACAGTGTCATAATAGGAGCAGGTGGCAAAAGAATCCTGATTACTTCATGGCATTCAAAAGGAAGGGCTGGGGGTCTAAATGTGAACTTTAATTCAACCTCCTAAAGGCTCCACCATCCTCTAGTTGCACAGTAGTCTTGGAATCAAGCCTTCAACATGTGGGCATACAAAATCCACATTGTAGCGTATTCCCACAAGATTTCCTTCCCACCCGGCACAGATTTTGTGCCTCCATTGCTGACCTGGATGCCAGAGATGTGACTGGGTGATGGAACTGATGATGACACTGATTGCTTTTCCTAGGCGATCTTCTGTGTGAACTATTGCCCTGCTGTTTCATGTCAAGAGAGTGTGTTCAAGTTTTTGCTCTGGGCCTCAGTTAGAACTTGAATGCCTAGGACATTTTCTTTATTTCTTTTTGATATTGGGTATCATACAGACTGCTCTCAAATTCACAAGCTTCTTGCCCAAGTCTCTTAGCATTGGTTTTACAAGTGTGTGCCACTGTGTACAACTTGTAGGACTCTTTCAAAGGCACCCTTTTTAGCAAGACAATACAGCATTTGGAGCTATGTGTCCAAAGATGCCTGAGGAATTGTATCTTTGGATTTATATACACATTTTAAATTTCTATGTTTGTATTTCTCTAGTTTCTTCTTGGACCAAGATGACTGATGGAAACCTTTCCACCTCTATGAATGGTGTAGCATTGATGGGCATTCTAGATGGTCAGCCAGGAGACTCCCTTCAGGATCTGCAACACCTGAGTGTCAAGACACCCAGATCTGTTTCAATGCCTGACTGTGGACACACACTAAAACTTGGTGCTTTGGAAGATCGCCACAGCCTTCAGTCAGTAGACTCAGGCATTCCTACCTTGGAGATTGGCAACCCAGAACCTGTCCCCTGCAGTGTGGTCCATGTAAAGAGAAAGCAGTCTGAGTCAGAGGTCATCCATGAACGGGCCTTCCAAAGTGCATGCCCCCTGCCGTCCTGTGCACCCTTAGCTCCCACCAGCAGCGAGCAGGAGCAAGTTGTGCGGAAGTCTTCCACATTTCCCAGGACAGGCTATGATTCAGTGAAACTCTACAGCCCCACCTCCAAAGCCTTGAGCCGAAGTGACAATGTCTCTGTCTGTAGTGTGTCTAGTCTCAGCACAGAACTGTCAACTACATTGTCGGTCAGCAATGAGGACATCTTGGACCTTATGGTCACAAGCAGTTCCAGCGCCATTGTGACCCTAGAGAATGATGATGACCAAAACTTTACTGATGTCACTCTGAGTTCCATCAAGGAAACCAGTGACTTACACCAGCAGGATTGTGTTGCTGAGACTGAGGAGGGGAGGAAGTTGAAACTATTCCAGCCATTCAGCCACTTCTTTACAAGGTAACATCTTTGCTATTTGGAGCAGGGCTAGGGCACCAGATGTAGACCTGTTGCCTTGTGCTTTCTTGTCTAATTGTGTAGTATGTCTTCTGTGCACATTATTAAGAGCTATGTCCTATAGACAGTTGTGCCTTTCTCCTGAGCCTCAGAGTACTGTGGAGTAGTGTGGGCCATGTCTGCTGCTGAATCAGCTGTTTGGCCTCTCACTGCCATCTCCTGCTTCTGTGTCCTTGGCTCACTTAAACAGTGTTTGTTGCTTCTTGGCCTCCTGCCTTTTGTGGATGGAGTCACCCACAGGTGGTCTTTACTCTTACTTTGTCAGTCACTGATTACTTCAGTTTCTTAGGTCAAGCAAAAGGATCCTGTTGAGATTGGTACCAGCATTAACAACTCTGTTTCTAATACTTCTAGTGGCAGACACGGGCTGGCGTTTCCAAGTGCTCCAGTCATACTTCCAGAGTACCTGTCTGGGCCTTTTCATGTGTTCTGGCCCTGGCCCTACAATTCTTACTGTGCTGATTCTGCCGTGTGCACCTTTCCTTTAGTGTCTTGTCACCCAGATCTCCAACAAGCCTATTGGGCTTCCTGTGTGTCCTCTAGAGCCCTGTGAGGAGAGTTGCTTCCATTTGTTTGTTTGTTTGTTTGTGTTCTTTTGCTTTTGAGAGTCATAGGGTAGTAGGCATGATCTTAGGTCATGAAGGAGGTAAACTTATAATCTGAGGTTGGGATCCCCCCATCAATCAGTTACAGAAACTGTGAGATTCTCTGCATAAGCATGTGGGGGCTGTGGATCATATGTACAGAATTATAATCAGCCCCATATTTTTCTTTGGAGGCTTCTGGGCTATGGGCTTGGCAGGTGAATCATCTGGCACATGTTTCTAGCAAGTCAGTGTTGGACTTTGAAGTACTTGGTGTGTTGTTGTGCCTAGATTCAGCTGGAGACATCCAAGTCTGGGAACATGTAGTAACCTACAGTTTCGCAGTTGCTTCATCAGGCAAATGTAGAGTGTCTCCAGTCAGCCTAAGACCAGTTCTGAGTGAGATGATCTTCACATGGCATGCAGGCTTCTGGGGACACCTTTTCTCTGGTAGGTACCCTGCACCTCAGTGGAGTCCTGGTCACAGAACTTGATATTCAGTGATTGCCTTCAGGAGCCTTAGGGAGCCCTTGTGTGTCAGAGTCCTTCTGAGACATCCCGTACTAGGGATCTCATCCTTGTAGCTGGCTGGTTCCTGCTAACTTAGATGAGTGTTTGTAGTTTTCTGGAGTGTCTTATGTGACTCCTCAGATTTATCTCAGAGGGTGAAAGGAACGAAGACAAGTTTTCAGTCACCTAGGAGACAGAGATTCTTTTTTTTTTTTTTTTTTTTGGTTTTTACGAGACAGGGTTTTCTCTGTATTGTTTTGGAGGCTGTCGGTCCAGCCTAGCCTCGAACTCACATAGATATGCCTGCCTCTGCCTCCCGGGTGCTGGGATTAAAGGCGTGTGCCACCACCGCCCGGCGAGACAGAGATTCTTTTTTTTTTTTTTTTTTAGGTTTTCCAGCTTAACTGATTTTTATTTTTTTTATTTTTTATTTTTATATTTTATTTTCCAGTTTAAATTTAGATAAGAAACGAGATTGCTTCACAAGTCAGTTCCAGGTCCCTCTCCCATTCCCTCCCCTCCTCCCATGCCCTCCCCCCAATCCCCCCCCATTATCCCCTCATTCCCCCAGGGAGGGTGAGGCCCTCCATGGGGGTGTCCATAGTCAAGACAGAGATTCTTAGTGAACCTGGAAACCCGTTTTGTTTTGTTTTTTTCGAGACAGGGTTTCTCTGTATTGTTTTGGAGACTGTCCTGGAACTAGCTCTGTAGACCAGGCTGGCCTCGAACTCACAGAGATCTGCCTGCCTCTGCCTCTCGTGTGCTGTGGAAACCCGTTTTTTAAATCGAGGTGATGTAGCATAGTGCGAACAGCTTGGTTTATAGGTCACATCCTAGCTATGTGACCTTGAACATCACTTACCCTCACTGAGGTTTCTGAATCCCTAGCAGAGTACTGAGAAAGGGACTGGGTGCCTGGTTTGTCATTGGTCCTTTTCACTCACCTCTGTTATCCCCATCATCAGGTGTTTGCTGTCTCGGCTCATTTCCCCCAGAATTGGAGTGAGGAGTCCAGTTGTGGTTGTGGAATTAAGTGGGTTAATATGTGCAAGGTTTAGTGCAGATTCTGACACATGGATAATATCTTTGTTAGGGTTACTGTTGCTGTGATGAAACACCATGGCCAAAAGCAAATTGGGGGAGGTAAGGGTTTAGTTGGTTTACACTTCATATCACTGTTAATTATTGAAGGAATTTAGCACAGGAACTCAAATAGGGCAGGAACATGAATGCAGGAGCTGATGCAGAGGCCATAGTGTGTGTGTGTGTGTGTGTGTGTGTGTGTGTGTGTGTGTGTGTGTGTGTGTGCACGACATGTGTGTGGGTAGGGGCTGGAGAGCTGCTGCCTACTGGCTTGCTTAACATGACTTGCTCAGCCTGCTTTCTTACAGAATGGAGGAGCACTAGCCCAGGGATAGCATTACCCACAATGGGCTGGGACCTCTCCCATCAATCACTAATTAAGAAAATACCCTACAGCCAGATATTATGAAGGCATTTTCGTAATTGAAGTTCCCTCCCTAAGCTGACTTTAGTCTGTGTCAAGTTGATATAAAACTATCCAGCACAGATGACTTTATATATCAGCTGTAAGGGGTGATCATGACTGTCTCCTGATTTATTGCTGTCTTTGTCTTATGGGGAAATGGCAGAGTTGAATTGTTTGTTGAAGTCTCTTCCCCTTTGGAGGAAATAACCTCAAAATTTGCAGTTTCTAGACCCTCTTATTTCTTGGTTCCTGCCTTTTATCTTTATCCAGCTCTGACACTGTTATAGGGAGCCACACTGAAATGCTGAAGCAGATGGAGTATAAAAACAAATGAATCAAGGTGATATGGTAGGACACCGGGTCTAGTGGTTTCCCTTCCCTTTTCTAGAGTCTTAAAGTCTTAGAGAAGAATTCCAACCTAGAACTTTGAGGGCCAGCGTCAGTGGGACACACACTGAACACAGGCAAGTTAAGTATAGCCACAGACAATGTTCAAGAATGTAGCCCAAAGCCTAACCCAGGTGTTTAGAGGACTGTGAACTGCAACAGTGTGTAGGGTGGACCAGGGCTAGAATTGGTCCTATGGGGATCCCAGGCCAGGCCATACCATCTTTTTCCTTGTCTAGCCCCTCACCCTCCTACATTCTTTCTACAACTTCAGCAAGTTATCTCTGAGCTGTAGAAAGATGTGTGGGTGGTACTGTGGGAAGCTGGTCTAGGAGAATATGGAAGTAGTAGAGATGGTCAGAGAGCTTCTGAACCTGACTTCTTGATGAGGTGCCTACATGAAGACAGGAGCAGCAGTAGTTGCCCCATGGAAGTTGTAGGCATAGCCATTATTCGCTCTTTCTTTACTTGGCTGTAACATACACCTGTGTACCAGATTACTCTGAGCTGTGACTGGTTCCTGTCCTCCTAGACATGGTGTATATCTTGTGAGAATGGGCACTACAGTTGGGAGCATTGGTTCAAGGCTCAGGTGGGCCAGGTTTATTGTCAGCTCTTCTCTTTCATAATTGTGTGACCTTGAACAGCTTTAATGGGGGAAAATGGCTCAAGTAAGATCAAATAGCTAAGGCATCTAGCTTCTTGGGATTACTTAAGTAGTAGCTTTCTCTGGTTTGAACAAACATATTTGTTTCCTAATGCACTTGTGAGCTTTTGACCCCATACTGTACATTCTTCAGTTGAAACCGTTGCCCAGTACCTTAGAGCAGGATTTCTGCACCAGGCACTGTTGATGTTTGAGATGGATACTTCCTGTGGGCAGCTGTTCTGTGTGTTGCAACAATTCTGACCTCTGCCCACTAGATACTCTGGTACCATCCTCCAATTGTGAAGACCAAAATGTCTCTAGACATTATTGCCACATGTCCTGGGGTGGAGGTGGGTGAAGAATGGGGAGAATCACCAACCTTTCAGATGCAGTGAGTTAACAGGTTATAACTTCCTCGGAGGTCGTTCGCTAGTGTCATATGAGCAGAATCTTTGGCTTATATGGAAGAGAGCTGTGTTAAGGGATCCTATGAATCCAGTGTAGTAGAACCCAGAGAACAGTGGCCAAGGAATTCAGTAGCATGCTAGTGATGTGGCTGTTTTCCTCAGGTGATGGGGCTGGTTTTCATGAAGCCAAAGGTTTAATCTGCTAATCTACATGGGTCTATGAAGTAATAATTAGCTTTTCCTGCTTATATCTTCTGTCATGTGGCCTTTTATTAAGCTCTCAGAGGAGGTGATCAGAGAGTTCTTTGTTAAAAATGTCCATTTGAAGCCAAAGCAGCAAAACAACAGCAACAAAAACAAAAAAATAAGAAAGATAAAAGGAGAAGAAAGCCAGGAGGTGGTGGTCCACGCCTTTAATCCCAGCACTAGGGAGTCAGAGGCAGGTGGATCTTTGAGTTTGAGGCCAGCTTGGTCTATAGAGTTCCAGGATAGCTCAGACTACACAGAGAAATCCTGTCTCAAAAAGCAAACAAAACAACAACAACAACAACAAAATGAAGGCAAAACAGATCTTGCCAAAGGAAGGTACAGGGGATAGAGATAGCCTTTGTAAATGTATCCATCTGGAATGATGGATTTTCTAGTCTGCTTCCTGGCCTGGCAGAGAGCCCTTTGGAGGTATAGTCTGTGTCTCACTAACCCTGCTTCTTCTTATAATCAAAAATAGAGTGGGAGGATCATGGTGGTTTGAGGGCTGGGGCTGGGGAGCCTCACCATCTCTGTCATTTTGTGCTATGTGACCCTGAAAAAGTCATTTAACCTCTGCAGCCTCTAGTGTGAACTTGAGTTCCTAGGACTAATGGTTCCTCTAGAAAAGAACTAATGTGAGAGGGATAGAGCCATACACAACTCAGTGT